AGGAAAAGTATACGTTTTAGTGAAATACAAAAAGCAATTACAACGCATCATAAGTTATATGACATTTCAAAAGGTTAAAAAATGAAGAAAAAAAATATGCAAAGGGCGGTAAAAGCAGGTTAAGATGTCATAATTGTAAAGTGATGCGAGATGGAAGGAGAGAGAGAAAGAGAGGGAGAAAAAAGAGAGAAGGAGAAAGAGAGAGTATGTGTGTGTGTGGTGAGAGTATGTGTGAGGGGAGAAGTAGAGAAAGAAATCACAAGATACGTAGATGGTGGGCAACGGAAGGAAAGAATCGCAATTCTCTAATGTGAGGAAAAATTCAATTATTGATTTTGAAAATTGTGATAAAGTATGCAACCAGAGGGAAAGACCAATAGAGTAAATTTATTGCCTTAATCTCATCGGAGGAGACCAAATACACAGAGATGGACGTGTCAACTGAGGTGCTGGAGCCAGGCTTGGGGTAATTATTGAGCAAATATTGATGATAATCTCGAGTTGAGCGGTAAAGTAGCCCGTTGAGGCTATAATGTCATTAAAACGTCTGCTTTCTAAATCACAGTGACGTTGACACTTCAAATTGCGATCTCACGTGGGTATGCCTATAGTTAGCTATCGCAGCTTGCACAGGGACGGATCTCGTTCTTATTAACAGTCAGAAAAGGGCTTTGATTTATGCTGGTTAAAGTGGTTATCACTTAGCCATTAGAAACTGCGTTTGTATGAGAAAAAAACATGTAAAACTCAACTTTTTAGCCCTTACATGATGACTTTTGTAAGATGCAAAAGTATAAACAGAAGAGTAAATTTGCCTTTGATAAACCGAAATGAAACGAATCGGCAAGATTAACCTTGCAACAGAAAGCTGAATTTCCTGACCTATCAAATTCGAGGAGGAATTTGCATGAATGCTTTATTGTCTGTGAGCAATATTTGTCGATGTGTCTGTTTGGGAATGCAGTTAAGCTTACAAAATGTGAAGTACAAGGAAGATAGCCTCTCTTACCGTACCCTTTTACCGTTCCCATGGAGGCGCACCCCCGCCACACCCATTGCTCCCTCGGGAAGGGAATACGTGGGAAAATGGTCCCCCTCTCAGGACCCTTCCACCATTCCACTGTCACACCATTTGCTCCCTCGGGAGTGGGGTAAGTAGGAAGATGTCCCCCTCCATACCCTGCTACCTATCCCCGCAACACCCATGTTACACCAATCACTCCCTTGGGAGAAGGGGAGGAGTAGGTAGAGAAGATGGTACAATTTTTAGCACCCTTCCACCAATCTCCGTCGTACCCCTGTCACATCTATTGCTCCTTCAGGGGGGGGGGGGGGGGGAGGGTGTAAAGAAAATTATGGTCCCCCTTCTTAATACCCTTCTACCATGTCAACCATTCCCCTGTCGCATCCCTGTCACACCCATCGCTCCCTCGGGAGGGGGGTAAGTAGGAAGATGGTCCTGTCGTTCGTTCGGCTACGTTTAAATTGTCAATATTGAAGGATAAGCCTCCCCATCCTCAGAAATGGTTTCAATGTTTGGCAAGCAATGTCGCCTCAAATAGAGACCCCTTTAACGAATATACCGTCCTAACCGCAACGCAGGTGCGAGAGCAAAATACAGGTGCTTTAATCTATTTGTCTCATTCTCTTTGTTGGTGGAGTCAGTCCAGTTGGCAATGTTTTCGTCATTATTTCAGTGTGCAATTGCTAATCGCATTTCATCAACACTTTATAGAAAGAAAGATACATTTAAGGTGTAAGGCGACGAAATAAAATGTAAGGATTTTATTATGTTCAGAATGTTCTAATGATATAACGTATCATCTGATTTGTATGTGTTTATTGATCATAACAATATAATAAATGCTTGCATATGACCGGCATCTGCCTCTGTTTAGTGTTCATGACGCCTTCACACATATACATGTACATTCTACAAAATATTAGGAGGAGCGTATATACAGTGCTTATTTGTTAATTGTTTTTTTTGAATCTCTACGGTAATGATTAGTCCAACAATAGTGATTATTCTTCAAAAGCTGCTGTTCAAGATCAATCGTTGTGTAGGTATACAGCATGTGGCCTAGACGTGATAAGGTATGAAAAGAATGAAATGACAAACCTAATCAATATCACATTAGTGGAGAAATTCGCCTACGTCACAATATCACAACTGCAATGACGTGGGGACGATATTCTTCCAGTCCCATCTTTGCGCCCCGCGGTAGGAAACCTTCTTTAAATATGGACTTAAGAAAATCGAAAACTACTAAACGACCAATCTATCAGATTTCTCGACTCTATCTTCATGATTATATAAGATTTAGAAAGATGGACACGTCATATCGATCCATGGTTATTTGATTTGATTGTGGCAATGTATTAACTGAGGAAGTTCAGGAGGAGAAATAGAAAAAGAAGAAGACCAGAGAAGTTTTGGTCTCACGTTTTTTTTTCGTGCTTGGATATGGGTATGAAAGGCAATTGCACTGTCGTCTTTTTTATTGCCACATCCTCGTTTTCTATCTACTGATGAAGTTACCTGTCGTAACTATAAAACATTGAAATTATCACTTTACGTGAGTCTTAATTATGCTTCGTATTTCTTCTTCTTCTACTTCTTCTTCTTTTAATCAATACACCCATATGTCATTGTCCCTCATAATTTATGGTTTCTTCTGATTCAGACAATTTCTCGTATTTTCAGAATTATTTGTGCCTGGGTGTATTACATTATCATTTTATCAGTTTATGTGTCATTTTAAGATCTTGGGATATAATATGGTAAAATTGTAGGTGTGTGTTCGATACATAGTTTAGATATTATAATAGAATGTGATATTGAAGTAGGGAAAAACTGAATGTAGATTTATTGCCTACATCTGTATGAGATGGATGGTATATAATTTTAATTTATATAAGATGAAATTAACAGAGTTGTTTTTTCCTTTTTTACAGTCAATAAAAAGAAAATATTATAAACGTTGTGATATTTTTTGCCACTAAATATATTTTAGCCCTCACCTGCGTCTCTGCGAGAGTCTTAAGGTGTGACGCAATTCAAGAGGAATTTAAAATACGATAAGATGATCTGATTGTGACAGGCCAAACTCTTGTAATAGAGCTATATTTCTATCTAGGATTTACTTGCTAATTTCTCTTTTAATTCAGAACCTCTGTCAATGTTTGAAGTCGAAGCTTCATCTTTTGTGAGATATTTGTATGCTGAAAAGATAAGGAGGGTCTACCTTTGGTCAGGCCTGAATGACAAAAAGGGTTAAAGAATGGCAAGATGCATGTCAAATTAGAATCTACCCGTTAGTAATGCAACTGGCAAATACTAGCTCCAAAAGATTAACACAAACGTGGGCCGTGAATGACCCCTAAATGGGGATTTCACTTCTGAGTCAATTAAGAAGAGAAAAGATTGAAAGAGAAAAAATCGGATGGACCCATCAAGGAGTCGTTGTCTTTTCTACTTTCGATGAATGCGAGAGATTCTTATCACCAAACTGTTAAAAAGGAGGTATTGGTTGGTTTTAAGGCTATTAGTAAGGCATTGTCCTCTTGTATAGAGAGTGTGTACATTAGGGAGCTGGGGAGAGTGGTAGAGGGGTAAATGTTTACCCGTGTAAGGATCGGAAGAGGAGCTTAACGCTGTTAATCACTAGACCAGTAGGAAGGGGCGTGACTGGTAGGCTGGTAGCCTTTGTCGTGGTGAAAGAGAGAGAAAGGAATCTCTGAGAGGCTTTAACTCTTTTCAATTGTTAGATTTGACTGCTTTTTGCAAAGTTTGGTTTTCTTTACTGAAAAGCTTAATGTTTAGGGACCCCACGTGTCTGTTTATAGAGCGAGAGAGAAGACTGAAAGTAAGAAGATAAAAGGGATATCAGTCAGTCAATTTCATCAATCAATCAATCATTCAATCAAAGATGAGTGAATTTATTTCAGGAAATACAAGAAATATTTAGAATTCATGCATCATTAAAGCTAAGATTATAGCGAAACATTAACTATATATGGGTATCAACATTTTTATTTAACATAGTGCCTCTTTTTAGGGGGTACGTGTTTACAGTATTTGGTTGGCAAATAAAAATTATATCCATTTGATTTAATAGAATATGTCAATTTTACAACACTGGTATACAGATAACGTGAAGAGTTAATTTGAACTAGTATTTTTTTAACGAATACCATTGGTCATTCGTCGGCTATATGATTTCGTACTCTAATTTTTTATTTTTCCAATTGTTTTATAAAGAAAACTTCATTTAACTTCTACATGTAATTCAAATTATATGTTTTTAAATTTGAATGATAAGTTAGAAGCCGGAAAGCATAAAAAAATCAACTGAAATCCTAGTTTCATACAGGTCTCTCATTTAAAGATTTTCACTCTCTTTCTCTCGCGTCTCTCCCTTTCTTTCATATCTCCTCTCCCACCCCCTCTCTCTCTCTCTCTGCCTCTCTATCTCTCTTTCTATCTACACCTATTCATTTTGAAATATCCGAGTCTCTCTCTTCTGTTTCTCTATCCCCCTTTCTCTTCCCACAGTCCCTTTTTAGCTGCCTCACCGATCTCCTTGCTTCATTATGCGACCCCTATATGGGTAACCTTCCCCTCCCAAATTCAGTTGATTTTCTTTCACTATATACACTTTCAAAAGTTTTCATCCTGTTTTAAATTCTTTTTCATCTCATCTGTATCGGTTTCCCTCAACTTTGTATATGTTGGCTTCTGTCATTCTCTCTTTCCCCTCTGTTTACTTGCTCGTCTGTATACTTCTCTGTTCTTGTTCTCTCTCTCTCTCTCTCTCTCTCTTTATGTCACCTTTTTTCACTGCATCATTTGATCACATGTCTGCAATCACCTCCTTCGAACTTTGAATTACTTCTTTTTATATCCATGAGGTTCCATTTTTTAAAATGTCTATCCTCTGAAACTTATCTCTTCTGACACACCCATGATGGGGAAAATAATAAACATCGAAACTGTCTTATACTATCATTATTTTTATTCTACATATCTTTAAATTATCAGCAAACTGCATTTTACCAAATATATACAACTCGTAGCACTCTATATCTCCATTATATACACAACATAGTTTGAATATTCAAAAGTACCTGCATATAGTATAACTTGTGCCATATTGATACCCATCACACCAACGAGACAGACAACAGGCCATCATCAGACAGAACAAAAAATTACATTTTTGGAGTCGGGCTGGAGTCTGTTTGCCGATGAGACTGAGGAATAAATATATCAATTCTCCCATAAGAACGCTGAAATATAACATTTATTAAAACAAATTGATTGTCGCTTAAATGACAGCCCCCCCCCCCCCCCCCCCTCGAAAAAAGAAATAGCCAGATGAAAGTAAAATAAACCACGAAATTCATAATATTGTTTTAACAAAATCATAGAAAACAGAGGTTCAAAGGATTTTGAAATAAAATGATCATTTTTGAAGGCATTGCCATCCTCTTATGCGAAATATTTTGATTCAGTGAAATTGATCACTTGAAGAAAAGAAAAAAGGTATTACAGTTTGCAATATATTTTTTTGTAAATCAAGCTGTAACATACAAATAATAAAATTGAAAAACTCAACAAATTTCAAAACTAAACCATTGTACTTATCTAATCCCGATGTAAAAGCTTCTAATTTAAGAAGAAGTATACAAATTAAGTCAATATCTTATAATACCTATTGCGAAGCATAAGGTATATATCTGGATTTAAAGTTTACTATAGCTGGCTACCATAAACATGCAAGTTTATATCTTTGGCATTTTGACAAAAACATCTAACTATTTCTCACCAAAGCTCAAAGAGGCCCTAGAGTTTACTTGCTAATCCAAATAAGATCTTTGTATTCAGTATTTGACTTTGAACATGTGTCAATCATCGCGAAATAATGATGCCTTTTAAAAATCTAAAAGTAACTTCAAGGGCTTTTTTGCACTTCGGTGAGAAATGACAAGTCTATAATTTATGGACGAAGAATGAGCTACAAGAAATGGCTTTGAAACTTCGAAACATTTTGTCCAATGTCAGGGCGAAATATCACAGCATATATTATACAGTGACTGCATAGAAAGATATTTCCAACGTTACAGACAAAAATCAACAAACAACAATATCATGTGGCGTGAAACAATTAAAAGATATAAAGAAATCTATAAATAGTTGTATATTCTAATTGAGATCACTAGAAAGTTTATGTAACGACGGAGTCCGGAACAGTTTGTAAATTGGCAAAGTTTTTAAAGTCTGCGTAGACGTGACAAAATTAGTCACTCATGTTCACTCCTAAAGCAGCTGCGTGCTGCTTAGCACGCATGCGTAGACTTTCGATGCTACTTGCGTGGACATTAGGACCAACGACAGGTGAGGAGACAGCGGAATGCAACATAGATGGTCCCGAAGGCCAGTTTAACGCCGAAGGGAGATGATGCGCACTAAAGAAGGCAGGGAGCATCGAAGGATGTCTCTCAAATCCCGGCAGGTAACCGAGTGGGGCGCCGAAAGTGGTCCGCGGGAAAAATCCTGCTGTGCTGACGTCGAATAAAGGAGGTCGGAACGCGGGGAGGTTCAACGACGTCTTCGTATTAATGGTTTCGATACCCGATGCCGCGCTTGGATCGTACTTGTCCGTTAGTTCTGTAAGATCAACGAGGACAGAAAATGATTAGTTGAATGGGAAATTTTAATAAATTCACCACAGTGAAGAATTCGAAAAAAGGCTTGGAATTCATTATCAAAACTAAAATAATGGTCTGGCGGACAGTCTCGTCAATTATATATAAGATATCGATCAATCTCTTTATTTAAAATCAGATCTGATGTTTTGTTTATGCAAGATGAATAAAATACTTGACAAAAAATTGTATTATTAGAATCAAATATCAATATGGTCGGGGAATTCTACAGTAAATTGAAAGCAAAATATAAAATACAATGACAAAGAGACGGAGGAAGAGATGATGACAGAAAAACTCAGAATGAAAGAATCTTAAAAGAAATTTTCGAAATATCTTCTACTCACTTTCTTGAGAATGTGGCCTCGGGGATGATACAGAGAACGAGTCGGCATCTTTCTCTTGAGATCCGCGGCTACACACCGACGACCGATCGACTTCGTCTTCTTCCGGCTTCGATAGCCTCGCCATCCGATCCTCCTCTTCCCGGAACTTTCCAACGTCCCTTGGAAGGACTCCACCACGCACATCCACTGCTTCATCATCCTCGTCATCATCGTCTTCTTTATCGCTGCCGTCGACATCGACATCGCACTCGCGTGACATAACGCCGTCGGAACGCGGAGAGATCATCGCTGCGTGAAAATGTTCGCGACTAAAGTCCGTCGTCGGGTGCCTTCGACAACCGTCGTCCAAATCATCTTCTACCAAATTCGAAGTTTCGGGCGTAATCGACTTCTCCTCGGTCTTGTCAGCGTTGCTATGGTTGTCTTCGTCGCCTTCGTTGATGGACTTGTTGCGCTGTTGCTTCCTGAATTTTGCCCTGCGGTTCTTGAACCATACCTTAACAAATAAAGACAAAGAAAATCGACAGATTTAGTTTTAAAATGAGTTTTAAAGTTGAGTATGAAACCAAAACAATAAGTACTTCTTTACAGTGATTTCCAGTTCGTATATGTATGTTCCTCTCCAAGATTTTGCATTGGTGTTCATAAATGTTTTACACTTTTTTAAAAGTTGGATGATGTTGTTTTGTTGCTCAATTTATTAAAAGAACTAAACTGAAACTAAAACTGTTAATGTGTGTTTTAGGGGACAATGATGTATCTGAGCCACTGTGTGTTAGAGAAATCGATGCAAATCGTGTCAATGTGATTTAAAAAAGAGAGAAATATTTACCTGTATTCTAGCTTCTGGAAGATTTGTACACATGGCAAGTCTTTCTCTCATCACAACATCCGGGTAATGAGTCTTGGCGAACGTCTTCTCGAGAGCAGCGAGTTGCTGATTGGTGAATGCAGTGCGGCTGCGTCGTTGCTTGCGGTGTGCCCGTAACGAGCTTCCAGAATGATGTCTGCTTTTAAGGGGAAAAGAATGAAAGATAAGAGAGAGAAAAAGGAGAGGATTTAGATTTAATTGCGATGTGATATGAACCAACATGAATGAGTAAAGTGAAGTTTTAACTCAATGTCTGTAAACAAAATACGATGGAGTATTATTTTTTGGTTTTTATTACTGTTGTTGTTTAATCATTAAATTATCATATATTAAAACATTTTTTCAGAAAATGTCATCATGTCTTTAATAAGACATGTTTTTGTGCAATGTGCAATCAAAGTGAAGAAATTAATTCGTTTAACAATGATGGTTAGATTATGCTTCTAACTTTTGCTCTTATCATGTCATCTTATCATAATTTATGTCGTGGAGAAATTCTGTAAAGGTTTTAGAGAAAATTCGTAATTTATTTCACTTAATGAGCAACTAACCTATACTTCGTGACAAAATCTGATGTTTATAAGCAGTCTATAGTCAAAAGCTGATCAAACATACTGTAGTTTAATGCTAAAATGTTCCTTTTAAAACATGATAGCGATGAGGAAAAGGTAAGCTTTAACAAATCTTTCTTTGAAATCAAACATCCAAACAACACGTATGTGGGAGATATTTGGAAATCAAGTGGGTATTCTTTTCCCTTTCGTTGGACACCAAGTCCGTATATCATCAAAGCGATCCCTTCTTGAAAGCGGATAAGCACGTTTCAGGTTCTCCTGTCGAAATGACTCACACGAGACTCTAACAATTTATGTCAGACAACCATCTCAATATCCCCATAACTATCATTCCTCATCAAAACCACATACATCATTGCTTGCGATTAAACATACATCAACCCCACCAAACAACCCGATTTTCCCGCTTTAAATAAAGCCAACAAATCATTCCCTATTGAGCGCTGTCTGAAATCAAACTCGCCACTATTTACTCCGGAAAAGAGGGAATATGCCAAAACCCTTATTCCAGCCGATGAAAAGAGGTAATATCTCGTCCCACAAATGTATCGAGCGAACGCCCGCAATATCATAGCGGCTCTCCCATGGGGTAGATCGATGCTCGCAGCGCCTCCCAAAAAGCGGCCGGTATTTTCCGGCAGCCGGAGAAAGCCGAACGTGCCAGGCATACGGGACGGCGAATTAAAACAAGATTCGCTAGGCGTGAAACAAGATGGATCAGAAATCCCTCATGAACTTCACTTAATATTCCCAAAGATTTTTTTCTTCTTATTAATACGTTTAGGGCTTAAATCGGGAGGGATTAGGTAGACTTTAGATTATTTAAGCCTCTCAGAGAGGATCGTATTTCACGGCCGAACACCTGCCGACCCCAACGTCATTTTGGTATAATACAATTTCCTCTTTGTACTAAGTAATGAGTGAAATAAAAGTGCGACTTATTACTGTCAAAGAAGTACAACTAATCATCAATAATGCATGAAAATGTTCACATATTTATGATAATGGCGGAACAATGAAAACATGTATTTCCATTTATCTAATCAATGCATAACCTAAGTTGAATTGCTAACAACATTATTATTTATATGAGACAATCATTATTTTCCGACACTGAACATGGTTTTGCTGACATGTTCCAAAGGCAGAATAAATTCACGGGACACGGCCATGAATTTGTAATCACCACAATGAGCATGTACTTAATGATGCGTATTACCAGTACTAACTCAAACAATGAACGAATAAGTTTTCTGAAAAGTCGTAATGGTTGTTCGAATGCCAGGGAGTCGGTTTATATCGATTTAAAATAAATTCACAAACTTTTCTGAAATAAATATGCGATGAGGGATAAGTAAAGATTATTTTTTAATATTTTGAATTTCATTTATAGATATGGATGAAATAATTCATTTGAGGGAGATGAGAAGAGCTTAAACAAACATGCGAATTTGATATCTGCTTTAACCCCGTGTTAAATTCTAGATGTATGATGACAATTGTGTAGAAATATTGTTGTTAAATAATTTATCATTGTGACATTTTACTAGTCCAAAATGTAAAGTAGGCAGGTTATCCAAACTCGAGGAGATTTCTAATGTCCAGACAGTCATGAGACTAATAAATAAAAATTAAATTAGAAGATATCAAAACAGGGGCTACAACTACAAATAATCATTCTAAATGTAAACAAAAATCTACGTTGAAACCTTATACGTCATGACACATATAGATATGAAACTTATACGAAATAAACTTAATTTAGTTCCTAGACCTAAAGATTCTTTTTTGCTAAACAACATGTTTAATGCTGTTAACAATTATGCGGTAAAGTTAAGATTTAAAGTATATGTCTTACGATTTTAATGGTATTGGTTGGACTGAAGTTCAGAACCGAATATATTTGTTGACTGAAAATTAATAACCAATTATCATAATAAACAACAATTTTTTTTAACCAATACAGTATTTGACGTTTAAGCAATGCCGTTTAAGCAATGAAATTGTGTTTTGGAAAATAATGAACGAAAAGGACAAGATATTTGAAGTATTCTTTCAAACAAAATAGACCAACATATATAAGTTTGCGATGATTATATTTCAAAAGTGCTAGAAAAAACTGATGAGTATTATTACTTAGCAAAGGTTTTAAACAAGTCTTTTCAAAGTTTTTAAAGTGTTCCACGATAATTTTAACGATACAAATATTATCTCTTACTCACCAATTAGATGATATATATATAATTGTCACACTTTGGTTAAGACCATTACAAAATATATAATACAAATTATTTTGATAAATAAGGATTACAGAAAGAGCAATTATCTGGAAGAAGAACAAAGTCGGGAAAAGATATTTTTGATAATTTTTATCTATTTTTCAACCTTACCTGATTCGTATGTTCGTTCCTTTTGTAAACTAGTTACATTTAAATAAAATACTATAAACATAAACATTGTCATTAGGCCTATATGAATATTTTAAATAAAACGCGATCCCATCAAAAGTAAACAACAAAATCCCGATAATTTACCCTTGAAAAAGTTGTTTACGATCTTAGGCCTACTGCAGTCCTTGAAACACATTGGATTTATGGTAAAATAAAGCACCGCGATGTCAAACATAATGTATTACATATATATCAAACTTTTATGCCGTTTCGATCAAAACTTTATCTGCAAGTTGCTTGGTTAGAACTTGGTTTCATATAGACGTGGCGATAATGAGTACCGGGTAGGCCTACATAATATGTGGTAACAAATTATAGTAAGATAATGATGCTCTCAAATGAAGCTGATTAATGTGAAGAGGAATCGCCTAAGTACATCAGCGTCTGTAATGGGCATTTATAGATTGTAAAATAATAAAATAATTTACAAGAGTTTCGACTAACTCACCTGCTAGCCTCTCAGCGAGGGAGAGTGCGTGAGTGGACGGGCGATAGCCCGCCTGCATCTGTAACGCCTGCTGGTGCATGGTGTACATGGCGCCAAGAGCGGCCGGGTTGTAACCTCCAAAATGCTGCATCGTTGCTCCACCACGGGTAAAATAAGAATCCGGTGTTCGGAAACAAAAACTGCGAGAAGAAACACAAAAATAGAACTCGTTGGTTCCACAGCGTTCCAAACAAGTGACTTATCGATGAAATCTTGTGAAATGTATAGCTTTGTAAGTTATAGTTGAGGTAGGAATGGAGGAGGAGGAATGGGTTGTGTCCACTGCAAGCTTTTGGAATCAAATGACCGCTGATGGTTTGAGCAATGGTGTTATAACAGTATCCAATCAACAAGTTACCTACACGTGTTACTCCAATCGCCCTGAATGCAAGGGGATACCGTAGGTATACCACGACAAAGCGCCCAAACCGCAATGCTCATACTAATTACCTGCCATCAAAATGGGTAGATTAACCACTTGGCTCTTGTTTGGAGAAGAGAGTACCCTTCTTGGGCAGGTTCATACAACGGAGAAAATAACCACGTCCTTTCTCCCATTTCCCCCGTCAAAAGGGGGTATTTCTTGGGCAAACATAGCCGACGCAGCAGGCGGGTTGGTAAACGTGTCTCCCCGCCTGATACGGGGGCAATCTCAGGTTGTAGCTATAGGCGTACAAGCATATCCTATGTTTGGCGTCCAATAAACTGTGCACACTCAGGGGAGCTATCTAAGTGTGTGAAGAGCTTTGTATATTATATCAATTCAGAGGTTTTGAATTTACATAGCTTGCTTGCCCAGCAACTATATGCATACATTACTGTCTTTCTCATACCTCCCAACACTTCAAATAATCTGGAAATGATTATTAAGAACCTTCTCATAAAAAAAATCTCTTCATCATGTTTCATATTTTACTCGTTTTCTTGTGTTGAAAAATACCAATATAAATGTTTATATTTTGAACTGCCAACACAGATATGAAATATAACTATTTAATCAAAAACTACTCTCAGTTAATGAATAAGTTCTTGAATATTTCCAATCAAGAATCTTAAAAAGAGACAGCTGATAAACTTTTAGTTCCCATTAAACATTTAAATATTTTTAAAAAGGGGTTGTAAACGCATGAAAAGAAGCCAACATTAGCCATGAGTAAATCTATATAGTATTCGCTTACAAGTAAGGTAACAATTCTAAAATGTTTGTTAACATTAAATCAAGTAATTTTACAAATTATGTGGGAATTGTGGCAATATATGAACGAATTTAAACGAACTTCTAAGCACTGGCAGAAAGCCAACATTCATCATCATGATCATTCTTCATTTTTGTTATTTTGGAATTTGATATACAAGAAAGATTCAGGTCGCCATTTGCAAAAATTATCTTTTACCCTTTGAAAAAAGAAATCACGAAAGTACGAAAAGGTTGGTAGGACTTTGCACTTTTCCATCAGCAGTTTTTCTTTCTTATTTTACACGGCAAATGTAAAAATGAATAACATATTCATCAAACGAAACTTTCATATATTTTCACACGGGTATTTTACTATTATTATACAGCTGGGTTTGTTACTACTTTTTTGTAATGTTAATTAATTGGTTTAAGGAGTTGTAATCGATATATAAGGTTTAACAAACTGTGAGAAAGGGCGAATTTTTTGACAGGGTGTGGTGGTCTGACAGACTTTGCATGTGAAGAGATGAATATTTGTTATCATATCTGAAATCGATGGAAGTGGAATCTTTTATACTAATGCTTGAAAGAAAGAAAGGTGAAACGAAATCGAAGGGGAGAAAGAGAAAAAAGCGAGAAGAAAGAAAGAGGAGAATAATGAAAGAGAGAAGAGGAAGAGAGAGAGGGAGATAGAAAGAGATGATGGAAAAGAGAGGGGGAGGGTAGGTAAGAGACTACTACATTATATGCTGTTACGTAGTCTTAAACATGTTGCAATAATTATTATCATAGTAGAAAACACCAATGAAAGGGAATTTATGTATGTTTACAAAGAAGATTGATTACAGAGGTAGGTATATGGCTTCTATGATAAATGTTAATTTATTGAAATGTTTCATTCCTACAATATCATTCGGTTGCAGATGTTTTTGGAGAAATATTTGGGTGATAATTTTCACAAAGAAAGATATCACTACTCAATTATATAATTGCATGCACCACACCTATATCTTCAGTGCAAAACTTTTTTTTTATCAGTCAAATATCAAGAAAGATACAACTTTCAAAATACTGTACGAGCCATAATCTAACGAACATGCAGCTCCAAAAAACATATGATGAAACCAAAGAGTGCAATTTTAACTAAATTTTAACTTCAAATAATGTTATGTGTCAGATGATCATGTTATATCTCATATTCCAGCTTTCTTGATTATGTTAATATATACCATGCATATATATACATTTAGTTAAAGATATATACAAAGTGTCACTCATACATTTCTCATTTCTTTCCTCTCGAACGGAGATCTGATGATAATCGAAATTGTGGCACTTTGTCAGTCTAATGATTCAAATTGTGAAATAAAACATCATTTTTTGTTATAAGAAGGAAACGATGAGCATACACTTGTGATAATTCTTTTACTTTGATGAGAATATGAATTACGCGAGCTGGAGATGTTCAAGGTAAAAATAAGACTGCCACAAAAAGTGAAATGTTTATATAATTTCATTTACGTCGAACAATCGTCAAAGAAAAATGAAAAGGATCGTCATTATTGAATTGGTGAGAATACGTCTCACTCTTAGCTATAGGCATGCTTGTCTTTATAAAACCATAAAGAATAAAAAGAAGATGACATGATAATTTTGTACATTTGCCCATGCTTGGTCGGCTTCAAAGCATCACACGACAGACCGGGAAGTAAAATTGCTAATTGTTTTAGGACTTTCTCTCGCTGTATCTGAACCTTTCCCTCGTACTGATCACGCTTCATTTAAACTTCATAACAGATATGACATTAAAGCAATCCTAGAGACGCTCGGGTATCAGCCGACTATGCTTCAATCCACACACAGAAGGAAATAATTCTTATTAAGATAATTTGATACCAACCAACAAATGGTTGGAAAAGGAAAGAATAAGACCCGAGTATCTCCGCACTTTGATTAATATGATCACACTCTGTACATCTAAGCATAAGGTTAAAATGGAAAAGTAAAATTGATTTGAAAAAAAGTTTCTGCGCCCTAGTTCAGGGAGGAAATTTTCAGGTATAATTAGATCGTTACTTACTTACCGAATCTACAGGCGAGTGAGATTCTGTAATAAGTCCAGGAATGGTGTATTGAGAGAAACAATCCAAGAAGACAGCAAACCAAAAGTCAAGTATATGTTTTGAATCGAGTTCTTGAAGTATTTAGCGTTTTTTCTCCAGTGGTGATAAGCTGTTAGTGAACTGAAAAGAAACAACGGACCGTCCTTTATTTTCCGCCCAAACCGACGGCGACGTGAATTGGTTGTGATTATGGCTTGCCTGCAGAATTGCAGAGTTTCATCGCGCTGCGTTTTGCATCGTACGTCAATCAAATTGCTGCTTAAAGTAAAAGGGGAGGAGCCGCGTCCATTGCGGCTCATTAAACTCTGACACTTTTGAATCAATTGACTATTCCATTCTCATATAGGTAAGACGTTTTGGCTATCAAACTTAAAAGTAATTATAATCGCAACTTGCTTTCATCCTAGCAAGATATGATGTGCAATGCTATTCGAAATAAATATTTGAATATGCACATAGGAGTGATTACATTGGCATCGTAAAAAGATTTGGTGCATTTATTTGGATGAAACACCCCTTATTTCGGGAATTTGGAATGGTCTTGATGCAAAGTGGATCTTTTGTGACCATTGGCGGCTAAGCAAGACATGCATCCGGCATTAATTCCACCAATGAATGGAGGAGCAGACGGCATCACTTCGACGCCACTTCTTCCTCTCATTCTCTTCTAGTCCAGAGATCTGTGACAAGCAAAAGACAATCCAAGGTCTTGACTGATATTTTACCCATTTATCTTTTTTTTTTGTCTTTGAAAAAAAAGGAAAGCTATGAAGAATTATATAGATTTGTAGACTATAATACTATAGAGTATAATAATTGACTGTTAAAAAGGAATGAGAGAGGAAACGGTATTTTAAATCATTTTCGTTTTTTTTTTTTTTCTTCACATTTCTCATTTTGTCTATGATATAAAGCAAACTGAAAACAATTTAAACCTTTTATTTTGTAGGTTAAGAATAATTAACAGTTGAAAAAAATTGGGAAGGGGGTAGTAGTTAATACATAAACCATATAGTACATACATATTAAGTATGACTCTCAGGAAATGGCTGATGCATTCTTCTTGTTTATAGATTTCTATACATGGAATTAAATAGTGTAAATCAAGAAAAAGAAGATACATTGGTTTGTTTGTTTGTCTGTTTGTTGTTTTTTCGGTTTGAATATTCCTCTTTGGTAGTTTATTTTGTAAAATCTAGCCAAGCTTTGAATACAAAAAAGAAAGTATGATATTTTGGAGAAACCAATGATAATCTTTTTTTTAAATTCATAGTTTGGATTTTGAATAAACTACTGGAGATGGCTGTTCGGACCAAAAATTTGTTTATATTTGTTTTTAAATAACTTTATTGATAATTCAGCGTTAAAGCAACAAAGTCATGATTCCAAAAGCATTAAAAGAAAAGGAGAACATAATAAGAAAAGCACAGGGCTTGACCTAATTAGTGGTCCATATGCAGGGCAAAAAATACAAATGATTAAAAATAGCTTTTAAGCATCAACAATCAATATTTTATATGTTTTTCGAATACTAATTTGATCTTGAAATCACACTTACATGTACATCAAAAACAGCCGTCAGGCTGTATTGATTTTGTTGGTTCCCTCCTTTAAAATCCTAAAAAAACAAGGACAGACAAAATTGAATGACATTACAGGCCGTTTAAGTCGATGTTTTATATATAATTTTTAAGTTTTTATGAAATTATGTGATGACGAAAATATACCATACATTAATGATTAGTTATGATACATGTTTAACAATTTTTCATCTACAAATCTAGATGATTTGAAAGGGGAAGTTTTTCTAAACTTATTTCTGGACAAACGTCGATGATAATATATTTTGTTTTACTTCATGGCGAAATTTCGTTCGGTCTTTCCTTTCTAAGTTAGTATCGCATCCTAGTTCCAAATTGTCAGAGATTTGGTCATCTTTCTCTGGTCTTTCCCACTGTGGTTGACGAAAAAAGAAAACACGATGCGGTGTAACGTTTTTCCTCCCTTATTGTTCCGGCAACGAAAACATAGAGACGATAATGGGGGGAAAACAGTGATCCGATACAAAAAGTATCTGTCCTTGCAAGTTGTGGGCCATGGTCACACCACTATCACACGGTAGTGGTATGAAAAGAAAACGCTAAATACAAGCATCTTTTCCGCCCCTTCTATTAGTGTTCTGGTAAATTCGAAAAGAGCACAATGGAAAATGTGTGATGTTCTTGTAATCCTGTCTCCTCCCATCTCCGATGACTGGTTTGTTGTGGGATACGAGGTCTGTAGAGTTATCAAAAGTCATCGAAGAAAAAAAGAGAAACACAAACTCGGCGACAACAGGGTCTTGTCTACGCGGGGGTGATTTTTTCCCATGATGCGGGCGTCTAAAAACAGCATCCTTACAATACTTTTCCTCTATTTCCTTATTCTTCTTATTATTCTTTGAAGAATAGAAATCGTGTTTTCTTATTTTTTTGTTTAGGTTGTATCTATTTTTTGTTGCTAAGACGTGACTTAACGAAGGTCGATTGGACTGAATACGGATGGCGGTCATGAAGGTCGTTATGTCATTGCCATGATTGGCATTGCGATTCATACCAGCTGAGAGACAAAAATGTTCAATAAATTGTGATGATACCTGGCGAAAAGAGAAAAATAGAAACTGAAGATACGAAACATAATCGTTTCATTTCATGACACCAATCATAAGAATGAGGATACAGAATTATTTTTTTTGAGTGGATGATCTGGTATTTCCCTTTTTTTTTTAGCTCATGATAATAATTTGCACATTGATTGCCATTGTTGACAGTTTGGATCTTCATGAACTCTGACCTAAAATGATCAGTGCGAGATTTGTTAAAACTTCGCGGTCTATGGTTTGAAAATAGTAAGCGGTGTGTTAAAAATTACGTATTTCTCAATAAATGTTTTTATTAGCATTCATGTGATTCAATGTCATTTTCTAAAAATATTAATCTGCCGTAGAACGAATGGAAATGAAAGAAAATGAATAAGCTTCAAGATACATTAACATTTGATTTGATTTGATTTGATTTGATTTCTTTCTATATTTCCAAATATAATAACAGAATAACAAAGAACATATAAACGTAAGGTATAATACAAAATATACAAACAATGATAACTTCATGTCAATTTTGTTTAATGTTTATTTTTTTTTATATATTTTGTTTTACATGTACATATGATAACGAAACTTAATATTTCTAACAAAAAACAAAATTAAAGTATTATCCAAACTATCAGTTGAAAAAGTGCAGGAGACCGCAATCATAAGCGAAAGACCCATCGATTACTATGATAATTATCTAGATGAAGAAACAAAATATTCGTATTTTTCTAATCAACATAATCTATTTTAATTCCGCAATTTTCGAATTGTAGTAATGATAGTACACTGTAGTTTCATTTAAGGCTGCAAAAAGAAAATAGTGCATATTTCCGTTTTAAAATGAATTTAATCACGGGATATTGTAAATTCACTTTTTGTTGACAAAGTATACGTAAGAACATCAAGAAATTTGAAATATTGATAGGCCTATCAATAATAAATAACCGTCGACAAAGTTCATTTAATTGTCATGCATAGCCGATCGAAAGTTCTTGCTGCTAAATAATGTGTCGTATTAGCCCCCAATTGTTAATAATAAAAACATGACCTTGTTTATTTCCTCTCTTTTTTTTTTATATATATATATATATATGTTTTAATGTAGCATCTATAATATTGTATATACTATTACTTACACTCGTTAATAATCATGATTGCAAATAAAGTGATATTGAAACAAACAAAAAGCATTTCAATAGTGACGAAGGGTTCCTCTTTAGGTCTAAGGCAATAAAAACATCTATTTCTCACCATTTTGGCAACTCCTCTGACCAAACAGATTTCCGTACTTTTCCAAATACGGCAATTTTTTAGTTTAGAGAAGTCAACAGTCACAAGGCGTCGTGCTGTCAAAGTCATTCTCTTTGTCTATTTCTAACACCTAATATGACACATGGTTACAATAATTCACCACAGCGAGAAATATCTGTGGGAACCTCTCACACACATACACACACACACACACACACACACACACACACACACACCCTCACACCCTCGCACTCACCCATACACACACACACATACAAAAAGAAACAGTCAAACCTACTTTTTCTGTCTTATAGCAATTTGACCAAAAACAGCCAGACCTACTTTTTCTGTCTTACAACAATTTGACCGAAAACAGTTAGCAGACCTACTTTTTCTGTCTTATCAAAATTTGACTGAGACAAGGGTATCCATGCATTTCTTGATTACTGTTTCTCAGTCTTTTCTTTTTAGAATCATCCCCAAAAGATCAAATTGAAAGACTCTTTCAAAACGTGTGATTACCCCGCAGTGCCACTGCCTGGTAACGTAGATTATGGTATCAAAAGATTTTTAAAAGGTGACAATAATAGAAACCTATTTTACGTAAGGTTTTTATTAAATGGTAGAAATTTTACAGGCTTGTAGGATTAATCTTCCCAGGTGTACTATCTAATATGTTACGTGTTGATCTAATGTGGCATATATTTGAGCACAGTGACTGTATCTCATCTATATCAAATTTGTTTTGTCCTTTAGTGTCTACGTCAAGTGATTAATATAACATTCTGAATATTCAAAATACCTCCTCTCATTAATTTCTCAACTTATTTCAATTTGGTGAAAACAGCCGGGAATTCTTGATTAATATGTCAAGGGAGATTTGTTTCTGAAGAAAAAGAAGCTTACCAGTTATAACTCTCAATTTACTCATCATGACGGATTCGGAATGCTTCTTTATTCCTCACTCCAAACGAGTGCTTAAGTAATACCCTCTTTAGATACTCCAATATCAATGAATTCATACATAAATGTTTAGTCACTGTCAACACAGAACCGTGAATAGGCCGATGCTTTGCTCGCTGACCTTCAAACTTATGGGATAAAGGGATATAAGGAGAAAAGAATCGCTTTTGTACGGACTATAGATACTAATAGCAGAGTTTGCTTTTCACGCGTTTGCAAGAGGCGATAATAGTTATTGTCGCGACACATTGAGCCAATATTTGTGATATTATGCGGACAATAATTTACCTTTTATCGGTCTATATTTTTCCTCATACACCAGGTTCCCCTTTGTTCACGGTATGT